TATTTATATTCGTTTATCTTTTTACAAATTTGGGAAAGGTAATAACATTTATCAAAAATAAATATCAATTTAAAATATTGAGCCATATGCAATGTATTTTGCCTCACCCCAAAGTCTACTTTGCAGAGTTCACAATTACACATAAAAATAGAATTTAAATACACTTTAAGCAGATAATTCATTACTGAGTTATTTTAATTGAGAAAAGCAGGGAAGGATTAGCAGAAAATCAGAACCTCAAAGGAAACTGATTTTAATCTTTATGTAATACCTGCAAATTGGAGGTAACAGAAAGTTATATTGCATTTAACTAAAACTTACTTAGAAATAATGGATTAGATATACTCCTTTTCATCATTGGAATACTTTCAGTAACCTTTTTCTGATGAAATTTCATGTACTTGAAATAAACAAAATGCAGTTTTTAATATTTAATACTTGCTATACTGTTCAATGAGATTTAGAACAAATCGATAATATGACACCAATATAGAACAAACAGAAGCATAAAGACAAAGGAGAATTAAGGGTTTGTGATGTTCAATCCAGCATATTTTCAGTTAATGAAACTTATTCCGAGACATTGATAAGCAAAGAAGAATCCTATATTGTGACATCTAAGCAACACAAACATTTTTTTAAAAAAAACTAAATACATTCAGTACACTACATTTTCAATGCATTTCATTTCTTTCTTTCTTTGCAAAAATAGCTACTTTGTAGTTATCTTACAGTTCAAAAATCTTCCAGATTGGAAAGAGTATATAATAATGCCTACATTCAGGCTTAAAATGTAAAAGACTTGATACAGAAGGAAAAGGGGCAGGGTAGGAGGAATAAAAACAAACTCAGGACCCATTTTCAATATATAGTTCTTATAATGATCTGCTGTGAGAAACAATCAAGTAACCTGTGGGAGCATCAGGCAGCAAAGATTCAAATGAAGGACTGGCAAATGTGGCTGAAGAAACAGTGGAATGTCTTCGCTCTTTTTCTCCAGCTGCTTTGCAGCCTGTTCGGGTAACTATTCCTTGGAGAGGCATGAGTTTGCCTATAGTAATAGTTGTCTCTTCCATAGATTTGTCAAATGAAAATAAATAGTAATATTGTATAATTTTCTTATGTAGTATTATAAATGTTTTTAAAGCCTACCTTAAATTGAGCTTGACCCCTGTTGATTACACAGATACATCTACATTAATCATGTTCTCATCTACATTGTTTTCTTAGCAAAATATAGATGTAATTTGACATTTTGTTCTTCCAGCATGCTTTTTCAACTCCCCAGTCTAGTCTTCAGCCCTGGGATGCCCTGGTGTTCTCCCACTCAAGTACTAACCAAGTCTGACCCTATTTGGTTTTTTGGAGATCAGTCAAGATTAGATAGGAGCTGCCACCTGTTGTGATGTTTTCTTTGTTATCTGCTTTTCTTTAGACTGTGGAATTTAGCATTTCTTCATGATGTCTCTGCTTCAGATTTAAAAATGCTGTACTCAGTTGAAATGTTTTAAAGTGTTTTTATAATGTTATCGATTTTCATTTTCAGATAGGTATGCATGTAAAAGGGGTAGCTTTAACTGTCATAACAAAACTGTGTCCCCCTCTGAATTAGTTAAATTCTACTCTGTTTTACTTGTGGGGAGTATTTTTTTTTAATTATTATTCAGTTTTTGTCATCACCTCTTCAGGTGTTCCTCAGTGCCTCAAGCCATTTGGTACATAGGTATGGAGAGATTCATTGTAGAACAGATTAAAAACATATGTATTTACTCCCCAAAGATTTTATTAAATATCTTGGAAGCCTATTTGTGGGTTAGTAGAACAGAAGAAATATGTAACACAAGTATTGAGGCCTCTTGCTGACTATTACTTTTACTAAACATGTATATTGTATAGCTTTTAACTTTTATAAGAATAACATTAAGTGTAACATTCAACAGGAGGAACTGTAGCTCTGAGGTAAAGTGTGATTTGCATACAGATGTTCCCAGATTAAATTCCTGGGATTTCCAAAGATTGGGTCCCAGAAAGCTTCTTTTTGAAGGACTACTGCGAATAATAGCCAAATGGAGAAATAGAATATAAAATAGATTAAATCAAATGAATGTATACTGGAGCCTTATTTCATAAGATTCAGTTATCCTTTGTGTGTCTTCCTAAAAAATACTGGTATGTCAGGAAAGCCATTTACTCATTTAGTATGATGAAACCAATCAATAGTAAATTATGATGAAGTTATATTTTAGGAAAAGAATACACAAGGAGTTGGGATGTTATTTTGTTTAAAAACTTCCACTGGAAAAAAAATTCTAAACTCTTCAGGTACTACTACAATGTACATTTTTTAAAAAACATTTTTTAAAAAAAGGTACATAAAGATCTAGGTATCTAAATTACAGATTACTCACAGTAAGCTTTGGTGGTTGTTTTTCAATATTAAGCTTCCCATAAGTCTAATTGTGGGAGGGAGAGAGAGTAGCTAGTTCCAACAGATGTGAACATTCTTATTATATTTTTGGGCTGGACTAATTAAAAAAAGGAGACAACTTCAGGAAAGATGATACACAGAAACCTAGGTAGGGCGCATAATCAAGGATTTTACCATTCTTACTTGCTCTGACTATCCAGATAAAACAAAACCATTATAATGCTTGGCACTGCTTTTTCTAGTTAAGAAATCCCCCCCCCCCCCCCC